TGTTTTGCATATTCTTCAATAAAGCGCACAAAGTACTATAAGCAAAAGTAAGTTTAATTGTAAAACTATTATAATAGACGCTTTACCTTGGCAAACATTTTGTAATACTTTCCACCTGGATGACCCTTTAGTTAAAAAAATTGTTTACAATTTCAATCATTTTAAAACTGTTTTACCTTCAACAGACCACCGTGATTAATTTGATCATTGGTCTTCATCCATGCGGGGCTTGACCATGGAGAACCAAACCAATAGATTTTATGTGGGCTCACTTCTTGAGCCAATTTCATGTAAGGAATTTTATACTTTAAGTCTTCCGGTTCCAATGCAAACTTGGATAGAGACTCATCATTTGCATGATCATCATAAGAGTAGGGTCTTGTGCTAAAGTCACTTCCACCAATAGGAACTCTGCAAAAAGGATTCAGTGTCAATCAAACTATTTTGGCAGTTTAAGACAGCTAAAAATCAAGGTAAAACATACCTGCCCAGACTGTACTCAATGCCTTCTTTGCCATAATAATCGTGGATCAATCGGGTCTGCATATCTTTGGGCAAATGGGCAATATTTATGCCAGCTAAATGCGAGAACACAAAAAATGTAATGTTTTTAATAATTTTGGCTAATTTGTAGATGCAACACATACCTGCATCAGTGATTGCACCTCCAAATCCTTTGATTACTTGGTATTTAGTGTGCGGGTCAATCGTCACTGTCACTGTTGGCGCCACATGAGTGGGCTTAGTTTTTGAGAAGTGAAGTTGCTTGCGAGCAAATCGATCTCCATCAACACTGGTTACAATTGAGGTGGCTATTCCGTTAGCGGTCTTGACAAGGGGCGCAATATCATCACAGTAGGTAGCATTACAAACGCAAACAGTTGACCCATGGCCGTAGTTTCGGTGTGCACAATCACGTGCTGTTGTAAAAAAATGTGGTCAAATAAAGAAAACTCAAAAGTAGTCACTCACCAAAAGCACCCGAAATGGCCACAAGGCCAAAAGTTGAAAACAACAAAAAGTACTTCATTGTCAAACTGAGCAAGCCCAACAACAGGATTTTCCTTAAATATCATTGCTTCTACGTTTATCGCTGCTTTTAGAGGGAGGTATGATAGCTACAATTATCGCGATATGCCACAAAAACAAGGTCAAAGTGCGTTTTGCAAATAAAGTGCACAAATTAATTAAATTAAGCAAAAAAAGTTTTTGTTTTAAAATTTTAATTTTTAGTAATCAGAAAATCTAAACCAAAAAGATTGGTGATTATTGGCGTTAAAAACAATGTTTGCCCTTTTCAGTGGTGACTTTTCTCCTCATGAGACTTTGAAGTTTGCTGCTGCTTGTTAGAGGATTTGTTCTCTTCTGATGGAGTTTTCTTTAGGGTCAGCGATTTATCACTAGTAGTCGCTTTGGGTTTGCGTTCAGACAAAGTGCCAAAAAGCGGTTTCTCTGAGCCTTTATTTGTCTTGTTTTGCTCGTCAGACTTAACCGACTTTTGAATTGCCTCATCAGAAGTCATTTTTTTTGCCTGCGTGGACGATTTGATCGAAGATGCTTTTTGAGATGATATCTCTTGGCTTTTAGTTCCCTCTTTGTTCTTTTTCTCCTGGTATCCATGGCGCACTTGCTGAAAGCCTGGCGAGTAGCGGTAGTGTCCAGCACGGAGGACGTGTCCATGAGTCTGACTGCCATCCTTCACTTGGGCTGCCTTTGAGGACGGCGGATTCTTTGCCTGAAAAGAGCCATTGACGTTTTCACCGGCGGCAATGCGATCAAATATGTGTTTATCCTGTTTTCCCTCTTCCTTTGACTTTACATGCGATTTGCTGGCGCTGTCTTGGCTTTTCGGTCCGCTACTAGAGAACTGACTTGAGGAGCCAGATTGACTTTTGCTGCCAGTCTGACTTTGGCTACTATACTGGCTGCCGGTCTGACTGCCAGATTTAGATCCATAGTTGCTTGACTTGCTTTTTGACTCCTCACCGCTGCCACTTCCAGATTGAGATGAAGCGGAGCTTTTAGAGTGGTTTTCTTTTGAAGTGTTATTGGCAAAGTATCCCATAGTTTCTTGATGATAAAAAGTGCTGTGCAAAAAAAAGACACGTATCTAATTTAATATCAACAATAAAGAAAAGTTGCTTCTCAATGATAATAATTTATGTAGATTAAAAATTGTTCTAAAATGTTTATCAATTTTTAACAATTGTTCTTTTTTAAAAAAATTAAAAAAGACAAAAACCATCTTAACTTTAGTTTTTTANGTAATTTATGTAGATTAAAAATTGTTCTAAAATGTTTATCAATTTTTAACAATTGTTCTTTTTTAAAAAAATTAAAAAAGACAAAAACCATCTTAACTTTAGTTTTTTAAATACGTAAACCTATTAAAAATGATTGAATGTTTTTAATTAAAACGATTAAAATTAAAAATGACAACTTTACCTTGTTTTAAGTTTTTTATTTTTTCCCTGTTTTTTCTTGTAGAATCTTCATTTGATGTAAGCTATTCTGGACAAAATTTTACCACACTAAACTCTACGGTTAGACCAAGCAATGGAGGCAGCACATTGCCTGATTACATGAATTCCACCGATTGGGACCATGTTTTCTGTGAGCAAATGCACTGTGACGTAGGCACCAGTGTAAAAAAAGAAGATTGTGAAGCGAGAGGCCAAAGTGATGGACACCAACATCGCTGGTTACCTCATGGTGGTTTTAGCCGATGCTGTTCGTACTGTGTTATGTTGAGAAGTAAGTCTGAAACTTTAATAATACTCTGCTCACTAACTAAATACATTAATTACTGTACAGAGGAATCGGAACCTTGCTTTGCCGATTTGGACCCTTCTAATCCATGGCCACATGATCATCATACTTGCGAAGATAATCTTTATTGCGATAAAACCACAAGTCGATGCACCAAAAAGTGATAGGATTTGAGTTACCAACCACTCAAATATATGAAATCAATTGAGTATTTTAAAATATAATATTTATTTTTCCAACCGAGCAAACTCCAATTGGACAATTGCACATGAAAAAAGTTTTTGCCCTTTGGCGGGCACAAGTTTTTTGGTTTTAGTAATAAGTTTATCGAAAAGTGACCTTTTGTCACATCGAAACGTGGACGAACTTTGCACAACCTTTGGAAATTTAAATGAGGACAAATGGGGACTAGAGGTGGGTGAATGTGTAAGTGTGATTTGTCTAAAAGGTGAGATGGCGTAGACAAACTGTCAAGCTATGATTTGTTTGCAAATGAACTTTGGTGTTGCAGTAGACTGATGAGTGGTGGTAAGGCAACAAAGTGACTCTGGCTAGGGAATTTGGTAGTCTAAATCGACGTTCACTTGTGAGATTGGGCGATGGTGCTCATATGTGGTCAGCTTGATCCACTCAAGATACTTGGGCACATTGGTGTATATGCCCGGCAACTGAGGTTGGGCGCAATTGATACCTGGAGAAACAGTGATACTTTTAGTGATACTTTTCAATAGTTGAAATTTCTTTCTTTACCCCAACTGACAACTCCAGCAACAAACCAACTCTGATCATCATTGTAGCACAGCAATGGACCTAGATAATTAAAGAAGATAAATTAAGTTTGTAACTGAATAGTTTGGCTAAAAATCATACCTCCACTGTCACCTATTTGTGGAAAAAAAGAAAATAGTTTGTTAATCAATATTTGCAAGTTAAAAATTTTAAAAATTACCTTGACAAGCATCCTTCTTGCCGTTTTCATAACCCGCACACAATTGAGTTTTCGGAATTGGGTGAAAGGGCAGCTGCTTCGAGTACCATTTAATGCATTTGCTGTGAGAGACGACAGGCACTTGCACTTCATTTATGGCTGACTGGTAGTCAGCGTAGTCGTCGTGGATCTTTTTTCCCCAGCCAATTACTATGCATTCAGTTCCTGGATGTGGGAAGGGTCAATCAATCATTGCTTCATAGATAGCAGTAAGGCAACTAACCGGGTTTCAGTTGCACGCTAGAATTAGCTGGCAAACAGACTGGTCGCAAGAACTCGTCAAAGTCTACTTTCTCATCAAGAAGAACCAAAGCAATGTCATCGGAGTAGTAATTGTCAATTGACATTTGAAATCCAGGGTGCTTTATCAGTTTGACCACCCTTCTTTGGCGCACAAAAAGCGGCGTTGATGTGCGCCTAGTCACGCCCAAGTTCAGAATCCAACCGGTAGTGTTGGACTTTTTTCCAATACAGTGAGCCGCCGTGAGGACCCACCATTCACTAATTAGAACACCGGCACAGAAGAACACCTCTGCAGGGCCGCCGTGGAAAGCCACAAGCCATGGCCATTTCCCTGGATAGGACTCATCACCGCCGACGATGCGAGTGTTGCGACGTTTTCTAATCGATTCAGGTGACCGCTTACCGCATTCTGTAAGAAGTGTGTGACAGTAATGAGTGAAAACTTGTTCTGGTCTTGTAACCTGCTTACCAAAATGTTCGCATTTGATATGCACACTAGTTGTTGATTTGTGGCACTCCCTCTCAGCTGATGCTTTCTTTCTTAACTTGGTGTTTTTTTTGGGAAATGTCACATAGCTGACTGCATTTGAGTCTGCGAAACTGTTTTTCGTTTCGTCCTGCAGCCTAGTCTCATTGGAACGACGGTAGCCGAGCCTCTTGCAGACCAATTCACTCTCTTCAGGCACGCCCCACTTTTCTCCGCACACTGGGTTCCATGTGTTGTGAGTGACATTCCACACCTCCAGTTTGCCATAGCCTTGCATTCCCATTGATTTGCTCAGACGAAGGCAATTTCTCTCATCTCTTCCGTCGGCAGTGCAATCGGCTCTGTGAGATAAACTTGTTTTAGTTTTGTGAATCAAAAAGCCTTTTTTACACTCACTTTCCATCACAAATACTGTCTTTGCTGATGCATTTGCCACTTCCACAGTGAAGCTCATCTTGGCGGCACCAATTGCCATGCATGCCAAAACAATCTTTTTCATCTTTCCCATCTCTGCAATCTTAAAACAATAAAAATGTAAAAATTTTTAATTTATGATTACAAAAATTTACTTACCAATGTAACCGTCACACTTCCAGGTAGAAGGAATACACCGAGAAATGTCGCACCGAAACCCGTTATCTTTACAAGCTTAAAAAAGTTTTTTTAGTTATTAGTTTATACTTTTCCTTTTTTTTCTTACTGTGTTTGTTTGCCAGCTGATTGAGCTCTTGTTCTTGTTGATTACCGACGCAAATGTCCGGATCAGGGCTGTCCGGTAAAGTGTCGCAATCTATTTCAGCAGGCCATTTAATGTCAAAAATGTCAAGAAAAAAGTCGCATCTCTTTTTAGCGTCTATAAAAAATTAATTAAGTTAAATATTGTTTACAACAAATTAACCCCGTTTACCTTTGCAAATGCTCCTACACATGGGCAAAGCATGGCCAGTGCTGTTGCATTTGGGTGCAAACTGTGAACAGAGAAAGATGGGCAATAAGGTGTAGCATTTGATGCCAAGAATGGTAAGATAAGTGCTCGTCAGTTTCTCGTTGATTGCCGACTGATCAGATTGGCCAAATCGGTTCGGCAGTAAAGTGTATGCGTACTGAACGTCAAACTTTTGGCACAAAGTCACTTTCATAGGCATGCAGCTGTCTGTGGGAAAAAGGAAAAATGAAAACAAACATTAGCTCAGGAGTTAACTAAAACGGCTTTTCACACTTACGGGAGCTAATTGGAATTGGCTTGGAAATAAAGTAGGTGACAAGCACCCAGTAAGAGACAATCGCACAGATGACCAAGAGGGCAAGGATGAGGAGAAAGACGAGAAAGTAGATGCTATAACTGAGGAGACGTGACTTGACGCGCAGGTAGGCAACGAATCGCTCAAAGGCAGTTGGCTGTGTTGACTCGCTGAAGGAGGAAAAGTTGCGTCGATTGGACTTGATACTCTCTGGTTTGTTGAGATTCGGAGGGTGTTCGGTTGCATTGTCGTCCGCCCGAATGTTGTGGTGCGGAAGAGGAGACATTCGATCTCTGGCCTTCCCCTGAGAGGCACTACTGCCGACGCTCTCCAACTGCTTTGGCACTGCACTGCTAGACCCCGCTTGGCTGGCAGTCGTGTTCGCAGCTGCCGCCTGACTGTTTGGCCGCAGTGACTGCATGGGGAATGCGTTGCCCTCATCCTGATGATCATGCTCTCTGTTGTTGCTTTTCATTGTGTCTTCAAACTTGGCGGTGTAATCTCCGGCAGTTGCGAACACATCACATCAACTGTCAGGCAAAACACTACACACGTCAAACCGTTTTGAGCGTCATCAGCATGTCTGTTTCATTATTGATCTTTTCAGTTTCTTTGCGTGTGTTTTTATTAATGAACTGCTTAATTAGCTGACAATACAAGTGCTCTTCACGTTTGATAGACGCATAAAGATGAGTTTGTAATTGAATAGCTAAGTTGGTTTTCCACGATTCAAGTGGTTGCTGTTTCTGCTTTTGCCTTTCAGTTTTGCCATTCAAGGACTGAACCAGTCGAAAACTTTCATTGCCTGCCAACTATAAGTACTAAACTTGAACTCCATTTTCGGTCAACTCAGTCTTCTTTTGCCCATTGTCGCCCTAAGCACAATACCAAAAAAANATGAACCAGTCGAAAACTTTCACTGCCTGCCAACTATAAGTACTAAATTTGAACTCCATTTTCGGTCAACTCAGTCTTCCTTTGCCCATTGTCGCCCTAAGCACAATACCAAAAAATGGGTTAATTTTCATATTTAATTAATCGTTTAGGTACGCGCTCTAAAGGCGAACAATGTAAGGAGAAAAAAAAGGGGATAAGACGATCGATTGAAAAGAAAGGGAAAGAAGGGCGGTCTCGGGTGTTGTGTGATCGATCGGTGCTGGTGGCACTGGCAGGGCTCGAATGAAGCAAGTAGCCCGACCGCACATCGTCTTTTGCCATCTTCTCAATTCTGTTCAATTAATGGTCTAATCAATACATCACAAGGCAGCAGTGTGTGTCTCCGTTTACAGACAGAGAGCACGACGTTTGGTGGCAAATTGTGATGATTTCGATGGTGCCAAGCAGAGCTGGAGAGGCAGAGCTTGCTCTGCCAGAATACTACATGCTAGCGGTGTGAATGGGCCAGTGTGCTTCTGTCACCTCTGACAAACTGGCCACAGCTGTCACACTTTGCACTGTCCACTGTCTCGACGTTNTTCTCAATTCTGTTCAATTAATGGTCTAATCAATACATCACAAGGCAGCAGTGTGTGTCTCCGTTTGCAGACAGAGAGCACGACGTTTGGTGGCAAATTGTGATGATTTCGATGGTGCCAAGCAGAGCTGGAGAGGCAGAGCTTGCTCTGCCAGAATACTACATGCTAGCGGTGTGAATGGGCCAGTGTGCTTCTGTCACCTCTGACAAACTGGCCACAGCTGTCACACTTTGCACTGTCCACTGTCTCGACGTTTCTTTGTCGTCCTTTAATTAAGTGCTTCTTGCCGATTGGAAGACTGCTGCCCAGTGCTGCCAGTAGATAATTGCGTCTATAGGCAAATAGTATCGATCGACTCGGTCAGCGGCACTTGTTTTATGGCCTAATTGATCGGACCACAGCGTGTGTGTGAGCTAACAAAACTGTTGTGTGGACAATACTGTGTAGCACTGTGTTCACTTTTAGTAAATGCAATTGTCGCCTTTCCTGCTGCTGCTCGCCTCTTTCCACCGCTATCAAGACCAACACCGCTGATGGCAAACAAAAACAAACGCAAAGGAAAAGACAAACTTATCGGCCAAGGGGCAGTTGGTGAACGAGTGAGCGATAATAAATAGTGCTGCCAATCGAGAGTCACTTAGCTGCTTAGATTGTTAGTGCGATTACGACTAGCAAATGGCGACAGAGTGGCAGGCGGACAGCAACAGCAGTCAGGCTGGCGACACCGACAATGGGCGCACTCGGTGCCTAATAGCATTATTAACTTTAATTCGAGCGTCATTATTGCTGCTAAGGCCAAATAAATTGGATTGATTCCTGGTCGTTTGGACAGGCACTTGCCGTTTCTCTTTCATTTGCGACTTAGCCTGAAAGCTTTCTCGATTATTAGCCTCGTTTGTCTACTTTGTGTCTTTTCCCTTCAATTACTTTTGTTTTTGTTAATTTGAATTTATTTCTTTACTTGCTCATTTGCTCGTTTATTTCAGCAACACTTTCTTAAAACTCTTCTTTCACACTGTCAATGATAATGCTCCACTATCAAACTACCAATGATTTCTTAGTGGAATTGAGATATTGGACGTTTATACGTAGTTTTTAAACGGCCTGCATTTCTTTATGCCTTCACAACAGTTATTTATTTTCAATTTAAAACTGATTCTCATTTTACTCAGTATTTGCACTTGAGCTCACTAGACTTGGTGATCTCGATTGCAACCACCGCACTGGGCGCCCATATAAATTAAGGCCACTGGCTAAGGGGCCGCCGTTCGTTTTTGTGAGCAGCAAATATTGCCGCAAGAAATTCATCATTCACTCACCGTGTTCAAAAGGCTTCACCGTTTTCCAGAGACTCTCAGAGTGCAATTTTGCGTGTGTCGATTTGTTTCAAAGAATAGTTGAACAGTGCTGTAGCGCCCCAGCTAGTCATCCCACTACTACTAGCAAATACCGCAGTTTCTCTTACAAATGATCCTTGATTATTGCAAACTTTCAAACTGTGTCTTGCCAGCTTCTCTAGGCAACTCAATAGGACGGCTGACAAAAAGAGAGCAGCTTTGCTCTCTGACGGCAAAAACTGCTTCTTTAGTCAATGTTTTTCTCTGCAGAGCAAGCATCATTTTCCCGAGCATCACTCGTGCCGCCGTGGCAAACTCAAAAGAAGGCACAATTAATTTGTCTCGCAGAAAAATGAAAAAGAACTTGGTAAAATTGAGTTCAAGTTTGAAACACACCTCAGGACTGGAGGGCAAGTCAGTGCTGTTGGTGCCATTAGCAGTGGAGAGGCACTGTCAGGCAAACAAATGGACTAAATCATTGCAGACAAGCAAACATTGAGTTGGTTTGCACTGTGCTCAAAGTGAACTGCTTGGCTGAGCTTGTTGAACAGCAGCCCAGAAAAAAACCAATCAGCGCAATAGAGCAGTGCAAAGAAAGGAAAGGAAAACGGCGGCAAATATGAGAATGAGGCAATTGGCAACGGCTCGATGGCCCCTGCGCTGCCACTACAGAATTCGTATGCAATGCAAAATTTTTTCATCACATGTGACCTCTCACAAGGATATGTTGTAGCAAAAATTGTGCATCACTTGGCACAAGGCAACAATTGAATGCAGAGTTGCAATTGCTTTGAGTAGTGAGCATTATGAAATGAGGCACGGTATTATTGGCAAAGCAAACATTACCTCTCCCTGGC